GTCTCGCGTACCCCTAGGGGTACGCGTACAACAGGTTGAGAAACTATGCAGGATAGAGCAATATCAGAGAAATATCTTAGAGCAAAAAGTGGCATGATAGCCTTTGATCATGCATCTGAGTTGTTGTAAACTATGTATCTAGTTAGATCTCAAGTAGCTTACTCACAAGTATCATCCAGAGGCAGGTAGAGATTTCCTCTGGAGGCAAGCAGTTCATTAACCATGAGTTTCAAGAGAGGGAGAGTGAGTTTCAGATGGTTCAGCTTCTCTGAGTTTTCATCATGGCTGCTGCTCCTTCTCCTGGGCAGTCCTTAACTTATATAGACCTTATGACCTCATTTACCTGGTCCAATGGAGACCAGCAACAGTTGGCTGCCAGCCAACCAATTTGAAATGCATCACTGTTTGCCTGGTAGACTGGCAGGGTCTCTAGCCCCTTCCTAGTCAAGTTGACATTGCATAGAATAATAGGGAGCCCCACCCTACCCAGGTTTGTGAGGCCAGTCACATAGGCTGGGGGAGCAGGTTTCCCCCCCCCTCAGGAATGTATCCAGTTCAGGTTACAACTCAGGGTTACCTGAAGCCACTGGGGTCAAAGGTGTCTGCCCTCTGCAGTGACCATGGTAACCAAATTGTCCCATAGCAGAGTTTGCGGAGAGACAGAGATGGTATTCTGCCACACTTTCCTCCTCCTTTAAAAGCTTGGGCACATGGCTTCACAGAGCTGTGTGTACAAGCATATTTTGTTTGGAAGGGAGTCACCTTTCACACCTAAAGAGAGATTAAACAGCACATAAGACTGGTTATAGCAATACTACACATAGAACATTGAAACACATTGGGGTGCTCCCACGCCAGAGCTCTGTCAGGTGGGCCTGAGTTCACCTGACCCATTACCTGGAGTCCTTTCACTACAGGTCATCTGCTATCACATTCTGGCTTCCCTTGATTTGTTTGATGGTAAAATTGAGCTCTTGAAGCTGCCAGGCCTATTGTTGAAGCTTGGCATTGGTATTGTGCATGGTTTGCAACCACTGAAGCGGGGCATGGTCCGATAGGACAGTGAACTGCTGCCCCTGCAGATAGGGTCTCAGCTTCTTCAGTGCCAAGCACTCTTTCTTAATAGATGACAGGTTTCTCTCCTGAGGGATTAACTTCCAGCTTAAGTAAACCACAGGGTGTCGTGCTTCTTTGTGCTCTTGTAAGAGTGTAAAGCTCCTACGTCTGTGTTGAAGGCATCAGTGGCTATGTAGAAGGGTTATCATGAACTGGTGCCTTCAGAACCGGTTGTTTGATCAGGGCAGCCTTTAGGGTGTCAAACACTTCCTGACACCCCTGCTTAGACCACTGGATCAGGGCTGCTCTTCTTGGTCAGTTCATGTAGGGGAGCGGCCATCGCTCCAAATCCAGGGACAGACCTCCTGTAGTATCCAGCCAGACCAAGGAAGGCTCAGACTTGCTTCTTGGTTTGTGGGGTCAGCCAGTGTCTAATGGCCTTGATCTTGTCCCACAAGGGAGCAATCTGACCTCCACCCACACAAGGTCCCAAATATACCACTTCAGATAGTGCCAACTGGCACTTTTTGGCTTTCATCACTGTTTGCATCACTGTTTGCCTGGTAGACTGGCAGGGTCTTCAGCCCCATCTTAGTCAAGTTGACATTGCATAGAACAATAGGGTGTTTGAGCCCCCCACCCAGGTTTGTGAGGCCAGTCACATAGGCTGAGGGAGCAGGTTTCCCCCTCCCTCAGGAATGTATCCAGCTCAGGTTACAACTCGGGGGTTACCTGAAACTGCTGGAGTCAGAGGTGTCTGCCCTCTGCAGTGACCGTGGTAACCAAATTGTCCCATAGCAGAGTTTGCGGAGAGATAGAGATGGTATTCTGCCACAGTGTGTCTGTTCCAGAAGAGAGGGACAGTGTGTGTGTTTATCTGTATGTAGGTAGGGAGGGACAATGTGTGTGTGTGTGTTTGCAGGGAGGGGTGGATAGTGTGTGTGCAGGGATGAAGGGACAGAGACTGTGCAGGGAGAGAGGGACTGTGTGTGTGTGTGTGTGTGTGTGTGTGTGTGCGCGCGTGCGCGCATGCTTGTGTGTGCGTGCAGGGAGGGACATAATGTGTTTGTGTTGGGAGGGAGGGACAGTGTGTGTGTGTGTGCGCGCGAGATCAGGAAGATAGGGACATAGTGTGTGTTTGTGTGTATAAAGGGAGGGGCATAGTGTGTGTGTGTGTGTGTGTGTGTGTGTGTGTGTGTATCCAGGGAGGGAAGGACAGTATGTGTGTCTAGGGAGGGAGGAAGCGTGTGCGTGTGTTTGCAGGGAGGGAGGGATGGAGTGTGTCTGTGTGTTTATGGTTGTGTGTGCAGGGAGGGTGGGACTGTGTGTGTGTGTGTGTGTGTGTGTGTGTGTGTGTGTGCGCGCGCGGAGAGGGCCGAACGGGGGTGTGCGTATGTGCAGGGAGGGATGGACTGTGTGTGGTTGTGCAAGGAGGGAAGAACACAGTGTGTGTGTGTGCATGTAGAGGGAGACAGTGTGTGTGCAGGGAGTTAGAGACATAGTGTGTATATGTGCAGGGATAGAGGGACATTGTGTATGTGTGTGCGTGCAGGTTGGAAGGGACTGTGTGGGAAGGGAGTGGCAGAGTGTGTGCGTGTGTGTGTGTGTGCGCGTGCGTGTGCACAGGGTGGGAGGGACTCTGTGTGTGTGTGTGTGTGTGTGTGTGTGTGTGTGCATGCGCACATGTGTGTTTTCATAGGGTCAGTCCCACACGCACACCCTGCCATAGACATGCACTACATGCCCCTTTCTCTGCCATACACACAGAGCCTGCTCACATGCCCCAGCCACCGTCCCCTCCACACCCTACATATCCATGTACATACTCACATGCACCCTCACCCCTCACACATACCTGCACCTTCCCCTGCACTCCATTCCCACAGCCACCTACAAACCTATACCCACCCCCCACAGTGTATAAGAGTAAAACTTCATTTTAAGCTATTGTGCAGTCACCTTAACATACACTACGCAAATGCATTCAATATTTTTTTAAGTGAAATTAATGAATGCTGTAGATGTTCACTTTTTAGAATATAATTTGGTATTTTTCTGGTTCCGAGATAGCAAACTGCTTTGCTGAAAGGAGTACTTTCAGGGCCAAGGGGAGGGACTTCTGGTGGCAAATGTCAGGAGTTAGGGGTGGGACTTCCAGTTACAAGATGGCTATTGGGGTGGGGCACCTGTCAAGGGGCAGGGCTACCCATGCAGCCCTCGACAGCTTGCCAAAACTTACGCAGCCCTCTGCTCAAAAATGTTGCCCCCCCCCGGTATATCATCTAATATTGTACCATACCAGTCTCATGTCCCACCTCACTCCTGACCTTCCCCATTGCAAGAAATCCCCTGTGAACTACTAGTGATGACCAAAAAGCACAGCACTGGAATGAGGCATACTCTATCTCTCAGGGTGCTTATGCACGTCTCTCTGAACATCCCTGGTGAGAGGCACAGATCTGCTTCTGGGGAGCCAAAACCATCAAATCTAATTTCACAGTCATAGCTCTAAGTATTTTTTTTCCAAAAAATCCCTCTACCATTCAGTAAAGCTAGACCTAATTTCTTCACTCCATGTTGGGCAATTTTATAATTACCAAATGAACCTATCATACATGGCTTAGACTCTTCACAGCATTCAGAGCTAAAAGCTATTTTTCTTTGTTGCCTTACAAACCTCTTGTGTAGTCAGCTCTTTGGGGTATACAGGTTTAGAGTCCAGGCTCTGCTGCGTGTATGGTAAACTCTTCTATGCACACAGCACTACGCTTTTTTGTTCTGTATCTGGTTAGCTTTTTAGTTCTTATGAGATTTTTCTAGGGTTGCACCAATGAAGATTTTTTTTTTTTTTTTTTTTTGGCCAAAACCAATAGCCGATTATTAATCAGCCATATTGGCCAATACTGATCTGATAGCTGACATGCAGCCTAGCAGCTTGGAGAGCAGCGTCCGGCCGGTAAGTCTGTGGGAGGGAAAACGCGTGTGAGGGGACAGAACGAGGCCCCAATGGTGAGTGAGGGACTGGGGCTAGGGTAGGCACTGCCCAGCCATGGCACTTGGTATGGAGGCTTGGTACAGAGCCTTGGGCGGCTCATCCAGGAGAGTGGCTCCCTGCTGCTGTGTGCAGCTCTGGGGGAGACATGGGGGCATGTGCCCCCTGGATTTGTGTGTGGGGTGAGGGTAGGCTGCCTGCTGTGAGCGTGGATCTAGCAGTTGTGCTGGCCTCTTCCCAGTTGGGGGGCTGGGCTCAGGGTGGGTATAGGTGGGCAGCAGTGGCGCTGGGAGGGTGGGCTACAGGCACTCCAAAATTCACTATAGGCCCCCTCTGCCTGTAGCCCCTCTTCCATCACTGCTCCCACCTGCCCTGAGTGCAGCCCTGGCCTAGCACACCCCCCGAAGAGTTTGGCACGGCCCTTGACCCTAAGCCTGTAGTGGGCAGGCTGCCCCACACACAAATCTGGGGAGTACATGCCCCCTCCCCATGGCTCCCCCTGGGAAGCCCGCCCCCTACTTTCTACCCCTGTGTACCCCCCTGATGAGCTGCCTAGAGCTCCTTGCTGCCCTGGCTGGGAAGCACCTGCCCCTGCCCCAGCCCCACTCCCTCCCTCATCATGGGGGCCTTGGGCTTCCCTCCCCCACACCCCTTCTTTCCCCTCAACACTTACCTGCCGGATGTCACTGTCCAAGCTGCCAGGCTGCATGCATGCTGCAGCAGTGCACATGCACGCATTTATCAGTGACATTTTTGGCTACACTGGCCAAAAAACTCCAATTGGCACCAATTAAAAGGAAAATTGACATTATCAGCAATCTGATACGGACCAATATCAGTGCACCTCTAGATCTTTCTTTTCATTTGCATAGAATCAATACTATCAGGATTGATGGACTTAAATCTTAAGATCAGGCAATACTTAAACATAACTTTTTTTTCTCCTATGCAGTAAGAAAATAATAAATGTAAGAAGTCTGCCAGCAGAAGCTGATGTGTTCAGGAGCCAGAGTGAAGTAAACCTGGGAGGGCTTCTAGAGTCCATGAGAAGAATTGCATCTTCAGGTTGGTGGGCGAAAGAATGTGAACAGGACTGTAAAACATACTTTCAATGCTAGAATAATAGAGATACTAAATGTGGGCTGGAAAGTGAGGTTGGGCTGGGAAGGAGATGGAACGCTCTCCATTGTCTAAGGCAGGGCAGCAAAAGTGGGGTGGATTGCTTTTGAACTTGGGCATTTGAGAAGGGTAATTTTTCCTCCTTATTTTAATGTTTTATTCCAGGGATGCTCATCCTCTGGCCCATGGGCCAAATGTGGCCTGTGGAACCATGGCATCTGGTCTGGGGGTACCTGTGGGTCATGAAATTTGGTGTTGGGGAAACAGTGACATTTGATACTGCCACCCTCCCCCATGGCCAAATTCCCAAGCCCTGCAGGGTTAGGTTGCCCTCCTTCCTCCTGCGGGGCTGGGTCAGAGCTAGGCCGTGTCCCCACTCCCCCCGACTGAGCTAAGCCTTCTTTCCCTGTGCAGCTGGATGAGGGCTGGACTGTCCCCTCATCCCACCTTCGCATGTCTGGATGAGGCCCTGTCTTGAGTGCTGGATCGGGGCTACTGACCATATCCACTCGCAGACAGACTGGGCACTGCCCCTCGGGCCCACTGGGCAAAAAGGTTGAAAGCCACTATTTTTTAAAATTCTTTTTCCATTTTTTTGCGTCTTTTATTATAAGCTGCCCTGCACCCTTTTTTGAGAAGGTTGGCATGTAAATCAAATAAATATACAATCAGATTCACCTTACAGACGTTGTCAAAGAAATGCTGTTATGTGCCCCAAACTCTACGTTATGTACAAACAGCCTCCTTCTTTGTTATGGCATTGAGTGAGATAGATAGATACTCACTACTACATCATATTTAGAGTAGTTTAATTGTAGGCTACATGTAGTGGCTAGAAACAGACATCTCCAGACATCTCCCCCTCTACGCGACACTGGTCAGGCCACAGCTGGAGTACTGTGTCCAGTTCTGGGCACCCTACTTCAAGAGGGATGTGGACAACATTGAGAGGGTCCAGAGGAGGGCCACCCGCATGATCCAGGGACAGCAGGGCAGACCCTACAATGAGAGGCTACGGGACCTGAACCCATTCAGCCTTCACAAGAGAAGGCTGAGGGGGGACCTTGTGACCATCTATAAACTCACTAGGGGGGACCAGAAGGGTTTGGGGGAGACCTTGTTTCCCCTAGCATCCCCGGGGATAACAAGGAATAATGGCCACAAGTTGTTGGAGAGTAGATTTAGATTAGACATCCATAAGAACTACTTCACAGTTAGGGCGGTTAGGGTCTGGAACCAACTTCCAAGGGAAGTGTTGCTGTCTCCTACCCTGGGGGTCTTTAAGAAGTGGCTTGATGCCTACCTGGCTGGGGTCACTTGAACCCAGTTTTCCTCCTGCCCAGGCAGGGGGTCAGACTTGAAGATCTACAAGGTCCCTTCTGACCCTACTTCTGTGATTCTATGAAGTGTGATCAGCAGGGATCTGGATTTTCGTTTCCTATGAAAAAACAGAAAAACATGGATTTCCCCCCTTTACTGGAGGAAAACATGGATTTCTCATTTTAAATGGAGAAACCCATGGATTTTGCAGTCTTGCAGAGTGCTCTCTGCAACCTGGCAGAGTTCCAGCTTATAAGGGTCTGGGAGAGTGTGGGCTTAGGCAGGGGGTGCCATGTGCATGGAGGCACATGGCTGCCAGGCAACTTGGAGAGGCACTCCTATAGGTAAATGGGTGGCAGGATGGGAATTGAGGCCCCCATAGGGAAGGAGGGAGGGAGTTGGGCAGGGCTGGGGCTGCTGCCCAGCTGGGTGGTACAGGGTTTTGGGGGCCTGTATGGCTGCAGGGCCTTAATGGGGAGCCACAGATGGATTGTCCAGGTAGTGGGGGAGTTGGGGCTGACTTCCCACTGCTGCATGCACTTCTGCAGTGGGGAGAGGCAGGAGGGTTCTGTGTCCCCCACATCTGTGTGCAGGGTAGGGGTGGGGATGTAACCACTTAAATGTTACACAAATTGCTAATTGCTCAAATCACAAGTGAGACGTTATGAGGGAGGATAAGGTAAGATGCCATGTTTGTTGATTCAGTGCCCTGTGGGGTCAGGCTAACTTAGGATCTCAATATGGTGCTGTTAGACAGGAGGGTGTGACACAATTGTACACACACACACACACACACACACACACTACCAGCTCAGGCACATACACATCCAAACCAGCCTAGGCACATGCATACCTATCACCAGTTCAAGCACATACACTATTCACCCCAAAAGTTAGACACAGATCACCAATTCATATATCATGCACACAATGCCATACACACACACACACACACACACACACAACCCACCTACACATGCACACAGACAAGTTCCTAACTTGCATGGTATAGTGTGTCTGTGTGTGCTTGGCGTACCTGGGATACTTGGGGGAAGGTTCAGGTGAGAGAGAGTTAAAGTGTAGGGAGTGGAAGTTGCCAGAACTGGGATTAGAACCAGTGGACTACAGGGAAGCTGACTGAGGAACTGAGGCTTGGGTTTACTTAAGGTAGACTGGGGCTGGAAACTGAGGCAGACAGCTGAGATGGGGGGGAGGGGTGCAGATAAGTGGTGGCAAGGAGGAGACAGCCAGGAAAGAAACAGACAGACAGAGAAACCTGGGAGCTTGGGGCTGGAAACTGAGGCAGACAGCTGAGATATTGGGGGGGGGGGGT